GAGGTCAGATGAAGGGGAGAATCTGCAACCTGAGAGATAAGAAAAACACAAGAGGGAGGCTTTGTGGAAATCAGAAGAATGTGTTTCAGGAAGAAAGAATGATAGCTTTTTCCAGTAATGCTGAGAGGTGAAGTGAGTAGGGTAGAGAAGTGACTGGTGGTTTTGGTCAGTGGTGACCATGAAGGATAATTTCAGCAGAACAGTAGGGTGGTTAAGTGGGTTAGATATGGACAGAGAAGCAAGGAAGAAGTGATAGGGAATGCTGACAGCTTTTCAAGAAGCTTTTGTTCCCTATGAAAGTGAGAGGAGGAGTTAATGGAGGTGTTTTTATTTGTGGTGGTTGTGTATCTCTTTGTGTTTAATAATTACTAGACTTTGTATACTTTAGAATTCAGTAGAATGAGAGAAATTTTTGAAGGAAAAGAAGGTATCATTGCAGGTGCAGTGTCCTCCAGAAGGGTGAGGGTTCTCAAAGACAAATGTTTGGGTGTAATAGGAGTATGGGCACTTCAGAGGAAAGAAGGTCTAGAATTTGGATACAAATGGAAGCAGGTTTTAGATTTAGTAGTAGGTTGAGTGAGCTCCTGGCTTGGCGATGCAAATTATTTTAGAGACTTCTAAGTCAGTATTTCTCAGTCATGGACATTTTTGCCTTGGATAATTCTTTGTTATGGGGGCCTGCCCTGAGAACTGTAGGTATTTAGTGGCGTCCTTGACCTCTTACCTCCTAGATCCCTGTAGGATACTAACTCTGCCCACCATGTCTCTGGACATTGTCAAATGCCCATGCGGTTCAAAATGACTCCTGAATGAGAACCACTGTTCTAAGGTGAAGTTGTCAGGTAAAAGTGAGGAGAATCATGTGGGAGTTTTGGGTTATGCAGCAGGTTTCAAAAGTGAACTTGAATAATGGGGAATGGGATTTACATATGCCACCAATTACATTTTTGTTCTTTGGAATTCATATCCTTGTCTTCTGAAATATTCTTCTTTAATATTCTTTATTTAGTTCTTGATTGTCTCACATTCCTTTTTGTCCTAAATGACTCTGAAGTTCCTTTTAGTTTCTACTTTGAGAGGCAATAGTTTATAAAACATATTAAGGTCATAGTGGTTCCCAAAATTAGAAGGAAAGTTTTACAAACTAAGCTCCCTTGACAATACATCAAGTATCTTGGAGGCAAGAAAGTATGTAAAAGCCAAATACACTAATAGTACTTGAGTGATGTTGTATATTTTACACATATTTGTAGCTTTAAAATAGTAACAGCAATACTCTTGTTGCCACAAGAACTGGTTAGGCAAGAGATCCTTATAGAGTAAAAGATGCTAAATTTTAGTGATTCTTTTGCTTCAAGTTAACCTTCAGACTTTCTATTTTTAATGTATATTTTTTGAGATTGGGATTTTGTACAATTTTAAACTAATTTTTAAGTGATTCTCAGTGGAGACATTACTACCTCCTGGGGCTGTCTTGGAAACTGATGGGAAGTTTGCATAACATGTAAAAAGAAGTAAAAAGAGATAGTCATCATTATTCCCTGGCCCATTGATATATTGTTCTTAATTTACTCATCTTCAAAATCCTTTTAGGCCAGGCATGGTGGCTCACACCTATAAACCTGGAGGCTGAGGCAGGCAGATCACTTGAGCCCAGGAGTTCAAGAACAGCCTGGGCAATGTGGTGAAACCTGGTCTCTACAAAAAATACAAAAATTAGCTGGACATGGTGGCATGCATCTATGGTCCCAGCTGCTCAGAAGCCTGAAGAGGGGAGGATCACCTGAGCCCGGGAAGGTCTAGGCTGCAGTGAGCCATGATCATGCCACTGCACTGCAGCCTGGGTGACAGAGTGAGACACTGTCTCAAAAACAAAACAAAACAAAGTTTATAAAAATCCTTTTAAACTTCTCTTTGGATATAGAAGTAATCTCTGAAGAAGCACAGCTCTTAGGAATTGAAGCTTTGATTATGTACATATTCATTTGAATAATTGAATCATTGATGAAAAAATTTTCAGTCATTGCATAGAATTCTCCCCAGTGCTCTCCCATTCTATGTAGTAAGCACTACTTACATTTTCTTTTCATTTATTTTTTATAATATCTTTGAGTATTTTCTTTCATTACATTTTTTTTAGGCAAAGATTATATGAGTTAAAACTTTTGGTTGTGATTTGTTTTGTTGACCCCTACTCAAAAGAACTTCATGGATATCTATCTGTGCTAGTTTCTGTAGGTCCCATTGTTTTTAACGTCAACATGTTATTCTATGTTATGCATGTACAGTAGTAAATTTTACTATTTCTACTCTGGCATTTAGATTGTCTCCAGTTTCATTTTTCTTTTAAAAATATTTTAAACTATCCTACACTGAATATTGTTGGGTAAAGGACTCTTGGGAAAAACCAATAAATGTTACTTGGTACAGGCTCTAATTTGCCCTGACAAGGGTCAATAAGTGCTCAGGTTCTTATGTAACTTGACGGAAACTCTCCCAAAGTGCAGGTGCTTTAGTAGAGGTGTATAACCTCCCAGTCTCCTCTCTCTCCCTCACTCTCTCTCTCTCCCCCTCTTCCCCCCCTTTTTCTTGAGACACAGTATTGCTTGGTTGCTCAGGCTGGACTGTAGTGGCATGATCTTGGCTGGCTGCAGCCTCTGCCTCCCAGGTGAAAGCAATTCTCATTCCTCAGCTTCCCAAGAAGCTGGGATTACAGGTGTGTGCCACCATGCATGGTCTCAAACTCCTGACCTCAAGCAATTCCTCAGTCTCCTAGAGTGCTGAGATTACAGACATGAGCCACTGCACCTGGCCTCTTCTCTCTTCTTATATGGCAAGAAGAATGGTCTTGCAGGTAGAATGAATACGTTGGATTTGGATGCCAAGTAATATGAGCTGAGTAGGTACAAGTTGTCCACTGAGTGCTAGGACATACCAGTTGCTGAACACCTGGAGATTTTGGGTCTCTCAGTCCTATGAATAATGGAATTTGGTACAGCTCCTCCTGTGTGGGAAAGGAAGGGCCCATTTGGGCTAGCTTATACCTTTGTAAGAGATCCTGAGGTAATTTGTTGGACAAGTAGTATTGTCCAATGAATAAAATATCTATGTACTAATATCCATCCTAATTTGTATGAATATTTTTAGGATCAATTCAATAAAGAATGTCTACATGGTAGACTATCTTACTGTGTGGCAAATGTCTTTCCCTCCATATTTTGACACTACTGGATGTTACTGTTTTAAATTTTGCCAATAGGTAGGTGAAAGGTTATATAATAGAAGATTTTCATGTTTTATTGGTCAAGTATAGTAATTGGGAAATTCCTCCTTGTTAGTCTTTTTCAAATTTATTTCTGGCCCTAGTCTGTTTTTTCAGACAATCTTTAAAATCAATATGTTGATATTCTCTACCTCCTAGCACAATGGGATGTCAATTGATGATATTGATGATTTTTTTTTTAATATTCTATGATTTATTTTTATTTTTTTATAAAGACGGTGTTTCACCATGTTGGTCAGGCTGGTCTTGAACTCCTGACCTCAGGTGTTCTGCCCTCCTTGGCCTCCAAAGTGCTTGGATTACAGGCCTGAGCCACTATACCTGGCCTATTTTAATTTTATTTTTTACTTTTTTGAGATGGAGTCTTGCCATGTCATCCAGGCTGGGGTGCAGTGGTGTGATCTTGGCTCACTGCAACCTTCGCCTCCCAGGTTTAAATAATTCTCCTGCCTCAGCCTCCCAAGTAGCTGGAATTACAGGCATGCATCACCATGTCCGCCTAATTTTTTGTATTTTTAGTGAAGACGGGGTTTCACCATGTTTGCCAGGCTGGTATTAAATTCTTTTTCTATTTGATGTATTAAGAGTTTGTTACTATTCCTAATTACTATTGGGAACATATTGTTCTTATTGTGCTTTGGGTATCAAGGGTTTGCCTTTGTAGAAGTAAGTTTGGATTTTCTACATTTTTTTTATCTTGTAGGCATTTATCAGCAAGAAATTTGTGGCTATTTATTGCCAGAGGTCCTTATGGGCAACAAAGGAGAAAAGAAAAGAAAAATCATAAATTATCTTAAGATATCCTTTTTTAAGAGTACTTGTAGAATGTTGACACTGACTTGAGCCGTTAAAATGTTTATAAAAAATTGACCTGGATTCTAAATTGTGCTTTTCTACTTAATAGAGTGGTAAGTCCTTTAGACCCTCCAGGTGTAATTTTTCACATGCACAGAATTTAGGGTATAGGTTAAAATACTTAACATTGTACCTCAGTTCTGACTCAGTAGTGTATAGATTTTTTTTTCTATTGGAAAAGATTAATCTGAATTATATTTTCTGCGTTTAGTAATTTGAACAACACTTGTATGGGATGAATGCAAGGATTAGACTGATTTTTCATGTAGGTTTTTTAAAAAAATGTATAATATGCTCAAATATGTTCTTTCTGAAGTACAAATCAGGTTTGTTACTCTCTGCATAAAATTCATCACTATTTTTCATTGCTCTTAGGACAAAGTCCAAAATACTCAGCATGACTCACAAGTCTCTGTCATATATGTCCTTCTCCTCCCCCTCTCCACCTGCCTTCTCTTAACCTTTCCAAAAACTCAGTTGAATCTGTTTTAGCTTCTTGAAGTATTTTTCAAATGTTCTATGTTCTTTTCTCCCCTCTTTCCTTCCTACTGTTTTCTCTGTTTCCCTGAGATCATTCTCCCTCCTTTCAGACCTCAGTTTAGTCATTTTTAAGAAGCCCTTCCTGATTTTCAGTCTGAGTTAGGTGCCTTTTGTCTTTGTGTTTTCCCAGAACTGTGTTGTCTTGTCTCAGCATTTACATGTTGAAATTGTCTATTGTCTGTCTCTCAGTTATTGAAGACATAGATTGTTTTTATTTGAGTGGATAGATTTTGGAAGTGGTATTTAGTCATATTAAAACCTAACTCTAATTGTTAGGCAAATGTATGTTTCATTAATATTTCTGTTGTTTCCTTTATTCTAGGACTGGGCTAATGCTAATGTCAGCAGACAGATTGAGGACACTGTATTATATGGATACTATAGTAAGTATCTTTCAGTTTCTTTTCCTATTTGAGCTTCTAACCAAAATACTACTTGATGAGTGGAAAACCCCAGGTTCTTCGTCTCTAGTTGAATTAGGAAAAACGACACAGACAGGCGTGGAGTTGTTTTAAGGAGCAGGGAGTTTAATAGGCAAGAAAGAAGGGGGGAGAAAGAAAGAAGAAGCTCCCCTGTACAGAGACAGAGGGAGTGGACTCCAAAGCCAAGGGAGGGAACCCCACCTGCCATGGATACCAGCCAGGTAAATGAAGAGGGTGGAGGGAGGTGGTTTGATTTGCATAGGGCTCGGGGGATTGGCTTGACCAGGCATGTCGTTCATGTAGCCTACAAAATAAAAATTGGCCCTCCCACTTTAGCTTTTTAATATGCAAATACAGGGTGCCATGATGTGCTAAACAGGTGAGGACATGTGGGGGCAGCCATGTTGCCAGGAGCATGTGGGGCAAGGGCAAGAAGAAGAGGGCAGGAATCACCATGTTTGGGTGGACCCAGTTTCTAATGGCCCACATTTGCATATCAAAGGTTGCCAGCCTGGCTCTTTTCTGTTGTTGTTTAAAAATAATTTTTTTGGCCGGGCGCGGTGGCTCAAGCCTGTAATCCCAGCACTTTGGGAGGCCGAGGCGGGTGGATCACGAGGTCAAGAGATCGAGACCATCCTGGTCAACATGGTGAAACCCCGTCTCTACTGGAAATACAAAAAATTAGCTGGGCATGGTGGTGCATGCCTGTAGTCCCAGCTACTCAGGAGGCTGAGGCAGGAGAATTGCCTGAACCCAGGAGGCGGAGGTTGCAGTGAGCCGAGATCGTGCCATTGCACTCCAGCCTGGGTAACATGAGTGAAACTCCATCTCAAAAAAAAAATAAAAAAAAAAAATAATAATAATAATAATAATTTTTTTTATTATACTTTAAGTTCTTGGGTACATGTGCAGAACATGCAGGTTTGTTACATAAGTGTACATATGCCATGGTGGTTTGCTGCATCCATTACCCCGCCATCTGCATTAGGTATTTCTCCTAATGCTGTCCCTCCCCTAACCCCTGCCCCCTGCTTTCCCCCCAGCCCTCCACCCACTGACAGGCCCCTGTGTGTGATGTTCCCCTCTCTGTGTCCAGGTGTTCTCATTGTTCAACACCCACTTATGAGTGAGAACATGCGGTGTTCGGTTTTCTGTTCTTGTGTCAGTTTGCTGAGAATGATGGTTTCCAGCTTTATCTATGTCCCTGCAAAGGATACGAACTCATCCATTTTTGTGATTGCATAGTATTCCATGGTGTATATGTGCCACATTTTCTTTATCCAGTCTTCATTGATGGGAATTTGGGTTGGTTCTAAGTCTTTGTTATTGTGAACAGTGCTGCAATAAACTTACATGTGCTTGTGTCTTTGTAATAGAATGATTTATAATCCTTTGGGTATATATTGAGTAATGGGATTGCTGGGTCAAATGGTATTTCTATTTCCAGATCCTTGAAGAATCACCACACGGTCTTCCACAATGGTTGAACTAATTTATACTCTCGCCATAGTGTAAAAGCATTCCTATTTCTTGTAAGAGCTGGGGCTTTACAAGAAAATTTCCCAGAGATGCTTTAAAAAATGAAAACTTCCCAAGGACCCCTCTTCCTCTCTATCTGCCTACAGTAATTTCTTAATATCTCCTATGACAATATAAAGCTACATATAAACTTTTAATTTGGAAACCACCTATGAGATTTCTGTTTTCTACCTCAGGAATAAATAATATGTATGTATTCATTCTCAAAATCCTGAAACTTCTTTAGCCTACTTTGCTTCATTTAGATTCACTTGTAAGACTTCTTTGTGGTGGTTTAGTCAAGTTACTTTAAATCTTACCTCTCCTTTTATCATTACCAATTTCCCACTCTTGTTCTCTTGATTTTAAATTTCAATTTTCTAAAATTTTGTTTTAAGTATTGCCATTAGCAGACTGCAGTCTCTGGGGAATTTGTACTACCAACTTTATTGTTCTCTATAGAGCCATTTTAATCTTGGACTTATGGTTGCTTGGCTCCTCCTCCCTCCCTCTCTTAACCATCCATCTCAGTATTAGATTATGAAAACTTTATAATAATACAAAAGCTAAATGTTTCTGAAATTTTCTCTTTGAATAAAAATGAAACGTGTGCTTTTATAAAAAAGTATTATTGTGAGTTAGGAGAGGGATGTCATTTTTTTCAGTAATAAAGTAAGATGCTGACTAAGATTTTAGTAGGGCATTAAATTGGAAACTGAAAAAAATCTACGGAAGTTTCTGTTAATGGGATATTTTTTCAAGATTTTGATTGGATTTTAATTCAGCTGCTTTGCTCTAAATTTGCCTTTATCCTGATCTAAAATCTGTAAGCTCTGTGAAATTTTATTTCTTTGGGGTAGATTTTAGAAAGATTTTATGAGATTTCAAAATAGAATTTAATATTTCTGATGACTATATTAAATATAAAATACAATTTTGACTTAAGTTAAAATTTTTGAAATGGCACTATATTAAGTAAAATGTTGCCTTTTTAGTATAAATAAAATATAAATTATACACAAAGTTTTAGGGCAGAGGTCTTGTCACCTGTGTAACACTAAAGTGTAGTTATTCTGTAGAACGTGATGAGATAAGCCAATTTATATTTTAGTGAAGTCAAGGTCTATGAACTGTGTCTTATCATTGAACCTAGAGACCATTGGACCAATCATTTGTAACTAAGTTCACAAAAGCCTTGTAAACTGGAATGTTAATTAATGCAGCCATTTACAGTTTGTTCCATGGAGAGAATTCAGCCTACAGAAGAGAATTTTAGGGAGTATTTTTCTCAGTCCTCCCAAAGATAGTGTGTCCTCAGTTTACTCCAGGATAATGTGCCCGTAGTATCATTTTAAATGCCTGGGAGATAAGTTAATCATTACAAACAGTAGATGTTTTGGGACTTGGCTTCATTTTCTGTAGAACTTAAATTATACTGAGAAATATTGCTTTGAACAGGATAGTTGAGACACTGATCTAGGGGAAATATTGTTTAAAAAGCCAAATTATGAATTGAAAAATTTGTTTATGACCATGGAATCAAAACAAGAAACTTTAATTGAATATTAATGGTTATTGTTATAATATTAGTCATCTCCATCTCAGCTATGGCTAATACCTTTGGCTCTGACCCAGTGGTGACCTACAGCTAAGAGCCTGAAAGGATTGCACAGCTTCAAAGGTAGTTACTATCCAGAAGTTCACCTGTTTCTTTTGAAATGCTAGATACTGTCTAACTGCCCTACTAGGACACATCTAATAGGTCTTCTGGATTTTGAGGACTATACAGAGTTCATATCAAAAGCATAGTTTTTAATTCATCTCTTACATCAGATGCTAAGTTCATCTAATCCTTCCTATCCCCCCTAATATATGAACACATTTTCATTATGTAACCTTGCCAGGCACTGTGTAAGACTTTTACATTCAACATCTTACTTAGTTTTCATGAATGCCCTCTCCCTCTTTCTTTTGTATTTTCTACCATTCACAGATGAAGAAATTGATGGGAGAGATGTTCAAGATCACTTTGTTAGTGAGTGATATAGCTCAAAGTGGTTCTTATTTCCACATCTGGAGCTTCTTACTGTTAAGTGAGCTGCCTTTGGATAAATGGTACTGGGGATATTACCTATAAGAATGATTAGCAGGACTGAACTCCCAAGGGCGGCTTCAGAAATCTGAAGGCCCTTTGTGTGTGTGTCTCTCTCTCTCTGTGTGTGTGTGTGTGTGTGTGTGTGTGTGTGTGTGTGTGTGTGTGTGAGACAGAGTCTTGCTGTGTTGTATAGGCTGGAATGCAGTGATGCAGTCTCAGCTCACTGCAACCTCCGCTGCCCAGGTTCAAGCGATTCTCCTGCCTCAGCCTCTGTAGTAGCTGAAATTACAGGTACACGCCATCATGCCCGGCTAATTTTTGTATTTTAAGTAGAGATGGGGCTCACCATGTTGACCAGGCTGGTCTCGAACTCCTGACCTCAGGTGATCTTCCTGCCTTGGCCTCCCAAAGTGCTGGGATTACCAGCTTGAGCCACCCACTGTGTTTAACCTCACCCTGTTTTTTTTTTTTTTTTTTTTTTAAAGATGGATTCTCCCTCTGTTGCCCAGGCTGAGCGACAGCTCACTGCAGCCTTCACTTCCTGGGTTCAAGTGATTCTCCTGCCTCAGGCTCCTGAGTATCTGGAATTATAAGTGTTCACCACCACACCTATCTAATTTTTGCATTTTTAGTAGAGACCAGGTTTTGCCATGTTGATCAGGCTGGTCTCAAACTCCTGACCTCAAAGTGCTGGGATTATAGGCATGAGCCACTGAGCCTGGCCACTGGGGACCTTTTAAATAATATGGAATGCTAGATTATAGCCAGAGGGATTCTGATTTACTTTGGTGTGATAGGCAGCCTGTGAATCTATTACTAAAAAGTTAATGGTACTGATTCTGGTTTTAGCACAGCCAAGTTTAGAAACCGGTGGCTTAGGTCATTGGCTTTTCATAAGCTGTCTCATGTGCATGTGCAATGAGATAGAGATTTGGAGGATAAGGAAGCTAAGCATTGACTCCATGAGACCTACGTATGCTTTGTCATTTATGTTAGGGTTCCATGTGTGTTTTCAAAAGACAAGCTTTCTGTTAACAGATCATGTGGTAATCTCTTTTCTAGAGTATTAAGATTAATGTTTAGATGCTTAATTCATGATAATAGAGTTACTGAGGCAGGGTTTTTCCTATATGTGTCAGGTATTTTTAGGTACCAGTTTAGGTGCTAGTTTAGATGCTAGTTGGTTTTCCATAGAAGAGAAACTGGTCAAAAGGTTTAAACTTATAAAACTCCTAAACAAGTTTTAGTCATCTTCCTCAATGAAAATGTTTAGGAGTGTTAATTACTTTCAAATTACTGATTCAAATTTACAGTCTCACTGTCTTTTCATACTCCATTACATCCATTGGCCCATTTGCACTTTGAATGGATCTTTCATCCATTTGTCAAATGCAAAATAAGACATGCCAAATAAGACGTTTGACGTTATGCCTCATCCATTTGGAAAATATTTGTTCAGTGAATAATATAGTCTTCTGAATGTTGACACATACCATTATATGTTAAAAAAACACATTTATTAATATCATCATTATTCTTTTTTTTTTTTTTTTCTATTAGATTTGCTTGGTCCAGATCTGAGTTCAAGTCCTGGATACCCTTGTTAATTTTCTGTCTCGTTGATCTGACAGATCAACTGACAGTGGAGTGCTAAAGTCTCCCACTACTGTTGTGTGGGAGTCCAAGTCTCCTTGTAGGTTGTTAAGAACTTGCTTTATGCATCTGGGTGCTCCTGTATTGAGTGTATATACGTTTAGGATAGTTTGCTCTTGTTGCAGTGATCCTTTTACCATTATGTAATGCCCTTCTTTGTCTCTTTTGATCTTTTTTGGTTTAAAGTCTATTTTATCAGAGACTAGGATTGCAATTCCTGCCCTTTTTTTACTCTCCATTTGCTTGGTAAATCTTCCTCCATCCCTTTATTTTGAGCCTATGTGTCTCCTTACGTGTGAGATGGGTTTCCTGAATGCCACACGCCAATGGTTTTGACTTTTTATCCAATTTGCCAGTCTGTGTCCTTTGATTGGGGCATTCAGCCCATCTGCATTTAAGGTTAATATTGTTATGTGTGAATTTAACCCTGCCATTTTGATGCTAGCTGGTTGTATTGCTAGTTAGTTGATGCAGTTTCTTCATTGTTTTGATGGTCTTTACTATTTGGTACGTTTTTGGAGTGGCTGGTACTGGTTGTTTTTTCTACGTTTTGTGCTTCTTTTAGGGGCTCTTGCGAGGCAGGCCTGGTGGTGACAAAGTCTCTCAGCAATTGCTTGTTCATAAAGGATTTTATTTCTCCTTCGCTTATGAAGCTTAGTGTGGCTGGATATGAAATTCTAGGTTGAAAGTTCTTTTCTTTAAGGATGTTGAATATTGGCCCCCACTCTCTTCTGCCTTGTAGGGTTTCTGCCAAGAGATCCGCTTTGAGTCTGATGGGTTTCCCTTTGTGGGTAACCCGACCTTTCTCTCTGGCTGCCCTTAGCATTTTTTCCTTCATTTCAACCCTGGTGAATCTGAAGATTATGTGCCTTGGGGTTGCTCTTCTTCTCATCTCTGTGGTGTTATCTGTATTTCCTGAACTTGAATGTTGGCTGCCTTGCTAGGTTAGGGAAGCTCTCCTGGATAATATCCTGAAGAGTGTTTTCCAGCTTGGATTCTATCTCTCTGCCACATTCAGGTACACCTGTCAAACATAGATTAGGTGTTTTCACATAATCCCGTATTTCTTGGAGGCTTTGTTCATTTCTTTCCACTCTTTTTTCTCTAATCTTGCCTTCTCGTTTTATTTCATTGATTTGATCTTCACTCTCTGATATCCTTTCTTCTGCTTAGTCAATTTGGCTGTTGAAACTTGTGTATGTTTTTCAAAGTTCTTATGTTGTTTTTCAGCTTCATCCTTCTCTAAGCTCTTTATTCTCATTAGCATTTCGTCTAATCTTTTTTCAACGTTCTTAGTTTCTTTGCATTGGGTTAGAACATGGTCTTTTAGCTCAGAGAAATTTGTTATTACCCACCTTCTGAAGCCTGTTTCTGTCAATTCATCAGATTCATTCTCCATCCAGCTTTGTTCCCTTGCTGGTGAAGAGTTGTGATCCCTTGGAGGAGGAAAGGCATTCTGGTTTTTGGTATTTTCATCCTTTTTGCTCTGGTTTCTTCCAATCTTTTTGGATTTATCTACCTGTGGTCTTTGTAGTTGGTGACTTTCCAATGAGGTCTCTGAGTGGACATCCTTTTTGTTGATGATGAAGTTATTTCTTTCTGTTTTTTAGTTTTCCTTCTAACAGTCAGGCCCCTCTGCTGTAGGACTGCTGGAGGTCCATTCCAGACCTTGATTGCCTGGGGTCACCTGCGGTGGCTGCAGAACAGTAAGGGTTGCTGCCAGTTTCTTCTTATCTTAGTCCAGAAGGGTACCTGCCAGATGTCAGCCTGAGCTCTCCTTAATGAAGTGTCTCTTCGGATATATGGGGGTTGGGAGCTTCTTGAGGAGACAATCTGTCCCTTATAGGAGCTCAGGTGCTGAACTGGGAGCTCCGTTCTTCTGTTTAGAGCTGCTGGGCAGGTACGTTTAAGTCTGCTGCAGTGGAACTCATAACCGCCAGGTGTTCTGTCCTCGGAAGGTGGGATTTTATTTATAAGTTTCTGACGTGCTGCTGCCTTTTTTCAGAGCTGCCCTGCCCAGCAAGGAGGTAGTCTAGTCTCAGTCTGCCAGCAGAGGCATTGCTGAACTGCCATGGGCTCTGCCCAGCTGCTGTATGAACTTCCTTGCAGTTTTGTTTATAGGGGTATAGTTAGAACTGCTTCGGTAATGCTGGTCTGCCTCAGTAATGGAGGACTGCCTCAGTGATGGCGGACTGCCTAGGTAATGGTGGATGCCCCTCTCCCCACTGAGCTGGACTGTCCTGGGTCCAGCTGCGCTTGCTCTGAAACTGTCAATCCAGAGCATTTCAGATTGCTGGTCTTTGTTGGGGTGGGACCCACTGAGCCAGATCACCTGGCTTCCTGTTTCAGCTCCCTTCTTTTTTCATTTGAATGGGTGGCTCTGTCTCCCAGGTATTCCAGGCACCAGTTGAAAAGGCCACCCAGATTTGTGTGAGTTTTGTGCAGAGACCTGCGGTGCCGACTGAAACAGGTGTGCTGGAAACTTGTTGTGCTTTTCAACCTGGGAATCTCCTGGTGTGTGGGTGGTAAAAACTCATTTGGAAATGTGGTGATCACTCACCCTTTGCATTGTTCCCTCTGGGAACCCTACTCCAGAGCTGTTCCTATTTGGCCATTTTGGATTGGCCAAATCCAATATCACCATTATTCTTATATCACCATTATTCTTATCAGAAAAGTATATATAGAGAAGCTGTAAAGCTCACAGATAGATTCAGATGTTCCAACATTCTAATTTTCTCTTGAATGCTTCAGTTTTATCATTGATAACAAATACTGTCATTTATTTCCTTTTGAGTGACAGCCTTACTGTTCATTTCTGAGAAAGCCTGTCTAATCCTTAAGTCTGGATAACCATTGCTTATCTGTCAGTTGTTCTTTCAAGTTAAAATGTGTTCTTTGAAAAAAAGTAGCTAGTGTAGCTCACAACTGAAAGAGCATAAATGAAATTGAGATGTTGTGAGACTCAAGTACAGCATGGTTTATATGTATTTCCTGTCACACAGAATATTGACAGGATATATATGCAAATATGGACACTAGAATTTTTATTGCTCCAAAAGGGACTTCTGTGAATAAAAGGCTCATATCTATGTCCTTCCTGAAGAATACAATGACTGCCAGCATAATGTGAGTCTACTATTTTGATTCTTGTAAAGGGGCAGCAGTTTTATCCACTGTTGTGTTTGCACCATCAGTTTAATTGTAAACATAGTGGAAAGGTAAATAATATCTTAGTATCATTGTGCAAATAGCTTTGATGTTATGAATACCCTGAAAGGATCTCTGCAAATCCTAGGGTCTGGAAACCACATTTTTTTAGTATCTTATGTTATATTTATGGAA